CTCCTCCTGCCTGCGCACCCCCGCCGCAGCGCCCGACGGACGGGACTTGCCGTCCTTGGTCCGCACGGGCCAGTAAAGCTGGACTCGGACGATTCCGTAGCCCCGAAGCTGCCGGGTGACTCTTCTTGCTGAGGCCGAAGATAAGAGCCTGGAACTTCGTGCGCGTTGTTTATCTTCCCGGCACCTCGGCGCTGCCACCGACTGCTGCTGTTACTGCCGCTAACCCCCCGGCGGGCTATCCGCTCTGGATTGCAGCAGGGTAAACGGACGGACATGGCAGGATCTATTTAGCCATCCATCTCCTGAGGAGTGTCCCCATTAAACATTTTTTAAATGTATAAACCAACCATGGAGTTTTTGCATGAATTTCTGGGAACGCTCGTGAAACCAGTATTTTCCCAACCGAGCACTTTGATAACCTGTCATCCAACCCCAGCTTCCCCAGCTGCAGCAGTACAGGAACAGCACAAGCTGGATGCCCAACAGCACGTGACGTGATTGCTGAGGTTCTAGCTCTGCTCTTCCTCCTGAGAATGAAGATAAATTCACAGTTCTTCATTGCTGCTCTGCAGCCACACGACTGCATTGCAGGAGGCACTGGAAAGAGACTCCACATCTTCCTCCTCTGCATCCACTCAGATCCTGCCGTTGCCTTTACCAGTGGAAGTCAGGACGGCTTTACGCACCCATTGAGATAGGCACTGAAAATCACCATTTACTGGTTTTTAACTACACCTGGTGTAAAAGGAGCTTTCTGTTGACTGCTCTTTGCAAGTGGCAAAAGGTTTTTGGAAAGGCGTTCAGCTATGGTACCATCCAGCCCATTCTGATAGCTGACATTTTAATTACGGTACCATAGAAACACTGAGCCACAATCATTCATAAAACTGTGCTGCATGTATTTCTTAGTTGTCTGTATCATAGTATGAAATGAAACAACCAGTGGTGTTAGAGGAATACACCATTTTTAAAACAGTACTAACCTTAGTCTTTCATCCACTGATCAGTCACATACTACTGCAAAAGAAAGCTTACTAACTTTCTAGGGCTTAATTTCTCATTCTTAGCCAGTAAAACCTTCCCTGCTATATTGCTGCTTCCTATTTCTTTCTTCTTTTTTTTTTTTTAAATTTTTTAAAAATCTTGGCTGTTTATGTGCATTGGAAAACTAATTACTTGACATGACTGATGAAACAGACATGTTGCAGAATCAATTATCCCACTCCCCATCAGAAGAAAACAAAATGCACAGAAAACTCGTTCCACAGAAACATGAACTAAAGGTAGCAGGACTGGTTATATGGGACAATTTACAGTTCTCCAGAAATCAAGGATAAATTAAAACTTTCAAGTTATTGCCAGGCATCTCAGCTTCACTAGGAAGTGGGATGATGGGAGTTGAAGCAATTCTTTTTAAGAACTGGGTTTTTTTGTGGACAGAATTGGAGCGAGGTTGGAGGGGAAGCATGTTTTGTAGCCCCCAGATGTCCCTAGATGGCATGAAGAAAGGTGGATATAGTAGGAGTGGTGGGAACAGTTTGTCAACAACTATTGCTACACAGCATGCACAAGAGTTAATAAAATAAATTATACACCACATTTTCTTTTCAAACGAGCTTTAAATAGTCCATATGTAACAGAATCATGTGTTACAGACAAGAAATTCTTGCTGCCAAAACACAAGATGAGTGTTTTTCCCTGTCGTTCTTTCCCAATTACAGACTTAGGAAAAAATATTTCAAGAAATTAAAAGATTTTTAAAAATAAAATTATGCTAAAACCCAGAAAAGGTCAGTAGAATAGACCGGTGAAGTACATGAACAAGTCATCAGAAGAATGTTAGTACACAGGTACTTACAAAAAAAAACCCCAAACACACAGAAGTGGACATAAAGGCTTTAAAGACACAGATACTATGCAGGCTAATTCAGTATCAAAGAGCAGAGTGCATAGGCTTTATTATAAACTCTGTAATTCATGCATTTGTGTGTGCAGATAAAATATACTTAAAGCCATGTATTTAAATGCCATCAAGAAGACACCTGAACTCCTCCCCAGCAACATCAGTTGACTTCAGGGAAGAATTAAACCCAGTTTTGTTTATTTTTATACACTGGCCTAATCCAAACCCATAATCTGTAGAAGGGAACAAAGTAAAAGAAAGAAACCAGGTATTTTATCTGAGCCGCTCAGAGACACCGGGACAAAGATCCAAACCCGCTTTTTGGAAATCACCGTACTGGAATGTAATGGCAGCGACACCGGCCCAGACAGTTCTCAGCTGTGTTTCAGAAAGTGGCTCCAAGAACGATCCAAGGGTTGAGTCGGGAAAAGTAGAAATTAACCCTGTAAGTACATACATACATACATACATACATAGATGGCTCTTTTCAGAACAAAATAAGGTAGCACTACTGAGTATGTGGCAATATGGAGTGTGCATTAAGATACACAAGTGAAACCTGCTTGGGGCACCTTCACTCAGAGGGATAAGTCTTCTTAAAATATAATAATAATAATAATACTTCTTTATACTTGCCACTTGTTAGCAATTGTTTACATCGTAGAAAAATAGATAGTATTCTGTAACAAGAAATATAGTTACTTTGTTAAAATGGGCTATTTTAAACCAGCTACTATTCTTTCATATAAAGAATTTCTAAACAGCAAAACAAAAATAGGTAATACTGAGTGCAAAACAGCCAGTGGTATACTTTGCATTGGTTTGAAACACTAGTTGCCAGCTACTATAATTACACGTTCTGTACACTGTACTACAAAAGTCTTCCATCTTTTAGAAGCCTTGGGGGTTTTGCTTTTCTTCTCTCTAGGTGGCAAGTAAGTATTTAATCCAAGTAAATTCAAACTCTGGAAGTCAGAAATAATTTCACAATCAGTCTTTGCTACCATTCTCTCGCATTCTTTCCCCCACATAGTGCAGCAGCACTTTCTACTTATGGCCCAAATTCCCTTAAGTTAAACAAAGTTTAGACTGTAGATACTTAGAAGTTTAGCTTATAAATTCACATTCTTTTAAGAATCATTTCACTAATCTCCCACGTTTACGTTTACACCAAAGAGAAAGCTCAAAAGCCTCACTTCATGCATTTCATCATCCCCGTTGAAGACTGAAATAGAGTTCAGATAAAAACTCTTTGCCAACGGTAGGTATGAAGTCGCTACAAAACCAGATGGTTCCAATGCAGAAGTCAGATTTTTCTGTGGTCTCTGCAACAGTTTCAGATACAAATAGCTAATTCCTAGTGGCAATGGTAAAGGCGTTATCAGTACACCATGAACAACACAAATGGAGGCAACTTCCAAGTATCAAAGAACAAAAATCGAACAAAAACCACACAGAAAAAAAATTAGTGAAACATTCTTAGTAGAGCAGAAATCTCTATTCTCTTCGTTCATCTCACACCTTTTCAACTTTGGTGGGGTCATATGTATCTGAAAAAAAACCCAAGAAAACACTATTAATAATGTATTGTGATATCTATTCAACATTGCTAGGTGCGGAAATGAGACATCTTTTCCCTAGTTTTTATTTTAAAAAGAAGCTAATACTGGACTTACAGCTTTAAAGATACATACTACATTCCTGACCCAAATTCTGTATTTACACCAGTGCAATTTGGGAGCAACTTGGATCAAATGCATGGAGATAGAATTTGGGAAGCCTTGGGCAGGTAGGAACAAGCGCACTGAACACTAAGTGATTACTTCTAGTTTTCAGCTGCTTTCTCAGGGAAAGACATAAGATTTGCCCCCCCTCCCGTACTGCACACTAAGGACAAGTAAATGCTTTAAGCATCCTAGCAAGGTGTTTAAGACTGGCTGAAGAAGTGGTGATGCCATCCCTGCTTCAGGGTCTTCTGTCTTTTCATTCAATTGCAAATCCTTGGTTTCAGATTAATGCAACAGAACACAGGAAAGCACAGCTGTGTTGCATCACTATGGTCAGACTGTCTCGCTTCAGTCTGCAAAACTGGAGCTCACGTTTTGAACATTATTCACTAAAGCACTGGACTGGCTTACTAACATCGGTCTTCATTTTCAGCCTACCTCTTGTCAGTTCACAGGACAGACCACCCTTTGGTTTTCTTTTCTCAGAGCCCCAAGGACACTTTTCTATCAGATTTTTTTTATTGGATTTATCCCAACATTGGCCATGAAGTGAGCAGATACGAGCCTTTTCCTTCACCCTTGTGAGTCTGGGACAGGATTGCAACAAAAGGGCTTTGCCTTGTGAGATCTTGCCTGCCCTGTGCGATCATGCACACGTCTGACTTACTTACCCTAGGCTCCTTGGGATGCGCGGTCATGGTGTGGAGGAACCGGGGCCACATGTGGAGGAGTCTGCAGGCACGTGGAGGCCTGGACAAACAGGCACTGCAGCCCGTGCTATCCTGTGCTACTTGCTGGTCTTACACAACCCAGGTATCTGTGCTAACCTTAAACGTCCCTTCCGTAGGCTGTACTCCCACAGCACTTGCATTTAAACAGTTGAGCATGAAAATAGTTGCGCACATAAATATCACACTTTGGAGTAAAATGTTCACCCTTAGGACTTTTATGTTGATGTCAGTGAATGTCTTCATTCAAACAAGCATAAAATCCTCAGAGGGAAATTTCTACTCCTATGTGCAAGTGTCCATCTGCAGCATCCAGACTCATATCAAGAGTTGGCTAAGAAAGAACAACTGGATTTCGCCCCATTGGGTGGATTCCTGGTGCAGGATCCTTTATTGCTTCTCTTGCCCACTGTCCTCAAGTTGCTAGGCCAGGCAAGAAGGGGTCTGTGTCAACACCACCTATGTTTTCAGAACTGTTTATCACTATTCAGCCTCTTCTGGTATTTCCAAACTTCAAGAACAGATACCACATGAAAGCAAAAAAATCAAGAGGAAAAATATTTTTGAGGGCTAGTACGATCCAGGATAACACTGCATCTTTCTAAGCTTAACACACTGATGGTGTGAGAAGACACCTCTAAAGAAGTAACATTTTTTTCTATTGTAAATATTTTGCCATCTAAACTGCTAGAACATACAAAAATTCTGAACCGTTCTGTGTGAGGTTGACCTAAGAATAAAAATGGATTTATATTTCAGAAACCTGATTTTCCTAAGGCCAGACACATTCACACTAATAGAACTCCCCACAAAATTTCAGGTACTCACTGTTTCGGGGAGTGGTGTTGGGGGGGGGGCGGGGGGGGGGAAAATCAGGCCCCCAGACATGGAGCCTCTGCGTGGCTGAGTTTATTCCTGGAATGCTTATGCACACCCTCAGCACCTAACCCAAGGACACAAAAGGGCCAGACTGCCAGGCTACATCACACTTCTGGGGAAGGACAAACATTGGAGCTCTAGCACGGATACAGAAATGTTGATTCAACATTTGGTGAAGCTCATTTGAAATGCTGTCTACAGAAACAAAGCCAGATCACCAGCCTCATGGAAGCAGTCTTCAAACAGCAAAGGAGAAAAGACATCCAGTGCATTTGGAAACATTTGGAGATGTTCTTTTAACGGCAGTATTTGCATAGTAAGAGCAGCTTCTTGCACTGAGTTTCGGCAGAGCTCTTACTCTGACAGATGACTGTTCATCTGCCAAGCTGCATTATATATGTGAAAACTGGTTTCTGGTATGGCGTCTAGCCTCTGCGATGGGCCCAGTCTGCAATTATAAGACTAACATCAGCCGACCTCACTCCAAATAGAATGGCCTTTAGCAATATTTACTCTTTAAAAGCAACAAATACAATGGTTTTCCAGGACTCTCATTTTCGGCTTTCAATGGTACCAGTGAGCTAGTCTGGAAGTTGGAGTGAGAGTTAACAGAGGAAGACACAACATCAGGCCTTTCTACAAACATGGATCGTAGAATCATAGAATCACAGAATCATAGAATCATAGAATGGTTTGGGTTGGAAGGGACCTCAAAGATCATCTAGTTCCAACCCCCCTGCCATGGGCAGGGACACCCTGCACTAGACCAGGTTGCCCAAAGCCCCATCCAACCTGGCCTTGAATCTTCAGTCCTGCCCTGTTAAGGTATGGTGAAGATCTTGTGGCCATCAACAAATCAGGGTCTCTTTGGATGGGAAGAGACAACAGCCAGTGGAGGAGACACCTTCCCGCCCCAGGTGAGTGCATGTTACCCGCTGTAGTGGATGCGTGCAGCAGGAAGGGACATCCGCACTATCCAGATGTGGGGAGGGCTGTTACGTCTGTGAGGGAACTGCTGCAATGGGAACACACTGCAGAATTCAAGCCTGGCATTGTCAGCAAGAAGGATAAACTTAGACCTAATTTACTGCAGAATAACTCTCCAATAAAAGACACACAATCTGTTTTGATACATCTCTGAAGTCATGTCACCACAACAGTTATTTTCTTCTCTCCAGCAGAAACCCCAAGGGAGGAAAGCATATGAAATGCATGTGGGGCACACTAGACCTGATGGGTACAAGGAAGCTAAATTAGTCTCTTTGGAAAATCTGGTCTAGAGAAATACAGTTCAGAGCAGAAAGAGACACAGAGCTGTGGGATACAGAAAAAGACTTTAAGGGAAAGGCTGCAAGACTGCAGGAGTCAATACCTAAAACTCATACAAATATTTCTTTTCAGATGGAAATACATAAATCCACTTTAAAGTATGCTCCATTTAATTTCAGTCCCTCTGTACCAGAAAACTGTGAACAGATTTATATCGATGAGGTTTAATGAATAACCTGTGCAGATTTCAAGGTAGAGTGTCAGCTGTTACAGTGAGGATGGAAAAAGGAAGGAGGAGATTAATATTAATTTAACAACTTTCACACCATACATTTGCTCACTCCAATTAATTTAATGGACTAGACAGGTGGCCTGAGAGATTTATCCCTTTACACAAATCTATGGCAACAACTGATTTTCAGTTGTTCAACACAATGCTGTAAGAAAACTGTTTTGGAGAGAGAACAGCTCACATTACTTTGGGGATGCATGTGGACTACACAAGTATATATACTTCTGAGAGACGAGGAACATCAGAAAAAAAAAAAAAAAAGGTGTTCACTGAAAAAGTCAACTTTCCATTTGACCTGGGGATAACAGTTATTCTCAATATCTGATCTGGAAAATATTCATGAGAGAGAGAGAATTTTCCAGGCCCCTTAATGCAGCCATTTCCCAGAGGTTTCACAGAAGAACAGATTTTTATTTTTAGTTTCTTCTGAACTCTGATATAGTATGTATCTACTTAAGTATTACAGAGGAAAAAAATAGGTATTCGAGGAGAGGCTATGATTAAATCACCACGTGTTCCCAAACACTGGCACTAGAGTGACTATCTTTGAACTCTGCTGTTCGAAGCTGGCCTTCCCTGAAACAATTAGAGAGAGATGAGATCTCAGGGAGCACTCCAGCCTCTGTGAATGAGTTTCAGTATCACAAGTGATTTTTCCAGTAACTTTTCCTAAAATGGGATCAGAGAACACTCATGTTATCTCTTCCACAGGGAGAGAAAAGGGGGTGGCAACCAGATGGGGGTAGTACCACCTACAGCCTGTTACTATTTGAGCAGCATTATGTGGGCGTAAGCAAACTGATCATACCTATTACATAAAGAAGCAGGACCCAGTTGGAGCTCCCATAATAGGTTCTTACCTAAAGAAAAATCTCTGTCAATCTTCTTCTTGTCCATTCCACCTAAATATCCGTTTTCACTGAGAGAGATAACACGCTTGGAAACAGCCCCGGAGCTTGCCAGCTTGCTTCCTCTCTCCTCTTGTACCCTTGACAGCTTCTCCTCATCCACCTCCTCTCCCGAGTCTGCGCTCTTAATGCTCAGACGTCTCATCCGAGACACAGAGTCAACTTCTTTCATTCGCACTAAGCGATCCATGGCAGTCCGGCTTGGTGGAGATGTGAGCTTGCCTTGAAGTGTCTCTATCACTTTTGAGGTGCTCCTTACTCTCTTTTCTGAATGCTGATACACAGCTGACTTGCAAACCAAGTTTTGGTCCTCACCTTGGCTGGGACTTACATGATGCTCAAGAACTTGCTCAGTTACCAGTGGTTTAGCACTGGCTTCCTGTTGAGACGTCTGGCATTCATCAGTGTATAAAGACCGGCCTCCTGCTCCGACAAAGAGAGCACTCTCTGTCCAGCCACACTTTCGTCTGCCTTCATAAGAACTATCTTTTTTTCCTTCTTTGTCACTTACTGCGCTCCCCACTGATGACTCAAAGTCCTGGGCACAGTTTGCAGGGCTAGTGTGTGGGTGGGGCCCAAGGTGGTCATCAGGAAGGAGAGACTCCACTGCTACATCTATACCTAAAATTCTTGCAGCTCTGGCCTGCAATGACTCATTCACAGGGATTTCCACTGCATTTGCATTTGAAGAGGGATCAGAATTGTTAGCACCAGATCCTGGGGCTACCTCAAGTCCCACGGACCTCAAATCTGGCTCAGAGCGCCCTTGGCTCCTCTTTGTTAGTGACAAGCGTACTACGGAGCCCCTCTCTAATACTGCATCCTTTGCGGGAGTTGCACCTTTGCTCAGTTTAACAAAGGCTAGGTAATTTTGGTCTTCGCTCATCTCCTGCAAGACAGGGTTATTGAAAGGATTACTGTGACACGAACTGCTTGGGCTACTGGACAAAACTCTCTTGAGAGGGCCCACGCGAACTGGCTGCTTGCTTGTTCTGCTCTTGGCTTCCCCCGTCCTCATTTCTGTTATCAGACTTCCATCTGCTGGCCCGACTCCTTCACTGCTCCCTCCTGGCTGCAAGGAGCCTTGAGAGCCAACGCAGCCCGGCTCACCACCATGCTCCGTCCCCACGCTCCAACTTTCAGACTTACTTTTAACTCTTCCTGACTTGAATACAGGCACGTCTGGCACAACCGTTTTCGACTTCCCACTGTGTTTTGGCTCCTGGTTCGACTTCTCATTTCTGGACGCCCTCCTCTGCGTAGGGGGACCTGCGTGTGGAGAAGTTGCAGCGCTTTCCGAATCTTCTTCACTGCTTGTGCTCTCCTCTTGCCCTTGCAGCTCCTTGTTAAAACTTTCTAGCTCACTTATTGCATCCCAGGGACGGCGACTTACGGGTTTCAACAGGAACTGCCCAAACAGCTCTTTACTGTTGCAGGGAGCGCCTGCTTCTCCCTTAACTACCTCTCCCTTGGAAAGAAGGCTGGTTTCCCTCTCCTGGGCAGGCACGCGCTGGCTCTGGTGGGCTTTTAGGGACGGGGCCTGAAGAACCGAGGTGGCAGTCCTGGAAAAAGCACTGTTGCTAGACTGGCTGAGGTACATCTGACCCTTCATGCCGTAAGCGCTCTGCCTGCAGCTTCTCTCATCAGAAGGTAACCCTGTCTGTTTTGACCCTATCGTGGATGCTGTACATCCTAGGAGCTTCGGAGACAGCAGTTTGTTACTATTGGGCTGTTCAGGCTTTGTACCATGGAAAAATTGTGAGCTTTTAGGTTCTTCGGTGAAACTGGTCTGTGTCTGCTGGTCTTTGTACTGATCACCTGGCCAGGAGCCAGAGTACTTGAGCTCTCTGTGTTTTGTAGGCTGAATAAATCTGAGGTCATTCATTTGTTTGAACTCTTCTGGTCTCCACATCTCTTGTTTTTGTAAGTCATTTTTATTGGTCATGCTTCCTGTAAGCGCTTGTAACTCCAAGTCCGTTGAAGACATACTTAAGAGACTTTGTTCTTGCAAAGCTCCATTGTTATCAAACCCATTCTTATCAGGGCTCTGGGTTATGTTGTTGTTCCTATCTGTATCTGGCAGATTGGATTCTGATTTAACTGGGATAGAGACCAAACAAAATATAGTTTCATTCATTTTTTTCTTTGAACTCTTTTTGCTCTGCATCCCAGTTCCAGGTTCAAACTTTTTCACTTTTGTAACAGTCTCACAGGTGCTGTCCATATGTGAATTTCTTACAGAAAGTTTGCCTTTTGTGTACTCCGTGCTGGCTTCATTACGGGGGCTATGATTAGTTGTGCTACAACTATCTCTTTGGTCCGGCAAGGCACAATTTTCCTGATCTCGGATGGACGGTGCCAACCATCTGTTGCTATGGGTGGAGCTGTCGGAAGTTCTTTCTCCCTTTGTAGAATTGGACAAGTTTGATGCATCTAAGAAGGCACCGTTGTACTGTACTTCAAGATCTCTCTCTTGCAAAGCACCAGAACTGGGACTACGTGCATTTTCAGTGTTGTCCTGCAGACCTTCCAGTGGTGCAATTTTAATATGTCGTATCCGAGGATCATCAAAGGGAATATACTGAACAGACCGCAGGTAGTCAGCCGGGCGCCTCGCATGGCTTTGCTTCCCATGAGGAAGATGGTTGTCTTTGCAAGGGTCACCCCCTGCTTCAAAAGCATTTGCGGCTGGTCGTTGGCAGGGGACAACCCGCTCCGCAGGACCCTGCTGATTGCTGCTGGCATACGCATTGTTGTTAGGCACTTCATTGAGGGGCTGTGGGGTCATGTTTTGGTGAGGTGGGGATTTGTAAGATGGAGGAGGTACGTAGACCGGGGGCTCCAAACCAGAGTCTTGAATGCAAGAATCTTGCCTTGGCTCATTGACTTTGGCTAAGTAGGGGGTGGGTTCGTCTTTGTGGTAGTGGTCTTGGAAACCCACGGTTTCCGCGGGTGCCCTCGTCTGCCGCTGCAGTTCATAGGACGGAGGCTTGAGAGGTCTCCCATACTTGGGTTTCACCAGGGGAAGGAAATGGCCTCCTGTTTCATGGTGCTTGGCTGGTTCCACACTCAGTCTGTTTGGGGGATAGGAGGGGGTTTTAGTTACGCTCAGCGAGTTGTTACTGTTGGTCAGGGAGGGCATTTCCACACACCTCATACTCTCTGGTGAAAGGACCCTCGGCAGGGACTGCGATTTCCCCTTGTTGTGGGCGCTCAGCACGTTGTCTCCCAGGGTCAATGAATACAGCTCTTGAAGCAGCTTCTCCCTGTCACCCTCGGACATTTGCCTCCCTACCTTTTTTGGCTGGTTCCAGCTTTCCATTCCCAGACTTTGCCATTTGCAGTCGCCCGGCACTTCGCAGCCCTCCTGCAAGCCACTTCTTCTGACGTACCCTGCGCCCGTGCCCACCTTCAGCTCTCTGTCCTTGGGGTGCCGGGGTGCCCCTGGGGCTGCAGCCAGGCTTTTCATTTCCACACCACCTTTCTGGGAATAGCCCAGTAGCACACTGAAGTCCTGTCCTCGTCTTCTCCAGTAGGCAAGATCTTTATCAGTCTTGGGCTGGGATGACCATGCTAATTCGGGCCTGTCATAAACCCTGAAAAAGAAATGGAGCGTCACAGGCAGTTTGCACAGATGCCCTTTCTTTCCCTCATGGGTAAGGCCGTTAGGAGGTCAAATGTTGAGTTATGCCAATGGGGTTTGTGTAATCTATTTGCAACCAGATGACTTTATGATTTTAATGAGAGGATTTAAAAGTCAGTCATTAACATGAGTAAAGGAAGGGACTGATGCTCTGCTGGCATGTTGTTAGCTATGCAAAGCTGTTAGAGAGAGAAATAAATGCACACAGTTACATGCTGTGCAAACATGCACAATCCTCCTCGATGGACACCAGAAAACCAGAAATGATTCTGTTGAACTTATTTCTGCACTTTGCTACAGCAAAATCTGTAGATGTCAAGGGGACTACTGTGGTACACAAGTGTAATAGGAATCCCAAGCTAAAAAGCAGAGGTAAGGATAACAGGTGGGGGCTATTTCATAAGATATATTCTGTAAGAAAGAAGCATCCTAGTACAAGAGTTGAAATTAAACATGTCATTTCCAGTGTTGATTCTTGTTCGTCTTTCAAAGGGAACAAATTTCTTCAAAGTGCTTTGGATGAAATGATACATGCCACAACAATGGTGATGTATCAGTACAGTTCTGAATGAGATGGAACCAATATTTGAAATCTGAAATACCTCAAAAGAAGTATAACACTGTTAAATAAAAGAGGGATTAACTCCAGCAATCTATTACCAAAAAATGAAAGACATTAGACATTTTATTGCGGATTAGAAATTCAGAACACAGATTTACATGAACAGAACAGGTTCTCTGTGTCTTCTGAACAGAGCGTAAACTATTTAATATATTACTGCTGAACAAAATTGGTACCTTTCTATATAAATAATTAATCTTCTACTTGAACCGCGTTCTGCTATTCTTGTACCTAAGGTGTCCAACAATGTAACTGCCTTTACACTATGTAGCTGCCACCAGCATAAGACTGGAAAGAAAAATCAAAATTGACAGAAATAGGACAAGTATGTAGATAGAACCCAAGAATTTCTTTCTTTTCCCTCCACCCCAAGGTATGTAAACAGTGTCATCTGGCTCTTTTTTACTAAAAACAATGACCTATTCAAATAGTAGTTTGTGAAAACATAATATAATTCAAAATTTGGAATGAAAACTAAGCAATCCAGATCCACAACAATTTTCTTGTATCCATGTTAACTTCATCCTATGACTATAAAAGTTTAAAAACCAAACTGGGATAAGGAGCATCTTGTTCGTATTCAACTGGATTAAGACTTAACATCTGAACAAAATGTTCTGCCTCTGAAGCACAAAGTACTTCGATCACTGAACCCCAAGAAGTAACAGATGTTACTTCTATATTGGAACACCTTCTATATTGGAAAGTTGATTACTGTAATAACGAGCATTTCCATGCCTCTCTGCATGTGTAAACACGCAGCTGAACAAATGCAGTCTTCTTCTGAGATTATCAAATCTACCTTTCAATCTCATCCCCATGCTGCTATGGCACCATTTGTATCTGCGTTTACCAAATGAGGTGAGAAACAGGGTCTGGCAATAGTGAGGAGGGAATGGACAGATTGCTCTTTCTGCTTGATTGTAACCAGCACCAAAAAGGGTCTACAGGAATCACAGGAAGTACAGAGTCATAGATTCTAAGATCAGCAGAGACTGTTAGGATTATTTAGTTTGACATCTTGCTCAACGCAGGCCATCAGACTTCCCCGAAATGATTCCTGCTTCAGTGGTAGCATGTCTTTTAGAAAAGCATCTAAAAATCTTGATCTTTAAATTTGTTACAAAGCTTAATTCACCATTAAAAAAACCCCAAAATAAACCCAAATTCTTATCAACCCAAATATAACAACATTGGGGGAAGGAAGTATGGCAGACAGTAATACTGAGCTTTGCAACAATTGCAACTAACAGCACAGAAATGGAATGGGCTGCAAGTTTAAAGGATTTAATAGGAAATCAGGAATAGGGAAGTAAGCATTACTCAACTCTTTCCTAGGAAACCACTAAAACAGAAGAGGTTTGGTTGGTTTGCTTTTTTAAAAACAGACAAAATGCAAGCTCATTCATTAAAGTAAATTAGCCCTAAGTTAGGACAGCTTCAGTTACAGAAAGGATGTTCCTCCATTTATTAAAAGCTGTTTAAAATATTAAATTTATTTTTACAGATTGAAAGATTAATAACTAGGCTCTGGTAATCTGAACATGATACAAACCACTATCCCCTGTACTATCCACTGTCTCCCCAAGGACCCTCCAGCTTAGCTCCAGCCTGAAGACTCCTCTGCTCCCAAAGATGGAAAGTGGCTCCTGCACACCTGCACGCAGAAGGCATGGCAGGCAGCAGGTGGGCAGGCAGAACAACCACACTGCTTGTGACTGCAACTGCGGCAGAGTGACTCCTCCTGGGATATATGACACTTTTGGGTATTGCAGTCAAATGAAGTGGTGGGAAAGGGGAAGCATCCAAGAGCTACCCCAAGTTTGAAATGCTTTGCTTCAGCCTCAGCAACGCTACATCTCTGGATGGTGAATACCAGCCATGTTGCAGTCTTTACATCGATGACATATTATCAATGAAGAGACCGCACAGCCCCTCTTAGCAGCAGCTAGTCTCTGACCGTGCCACTACACAATTCTATCTGACTCCATGATGCAACAGTACTGATGCTTGAAGAAATGCACACCCAGATACAGCAGCTTGCAAGTGCTCCACAGCTGGGAGGGGTGCCAAGGACGGAGCGGTCCCATGAGACCAATCAGGAAAATTTAAGTGCCAGGGACAGAGCAGTCCCATGGGACCAAGGAGGTAGATTTTAACATTATGAATTCTTTTCTAACAGGCTTGCTTCTAACACATATCACATTTGCTGTCATAAAGTGCTTTGAATTGATTCTTTATAAAATTAATCCAGTGAAAACAATTTTTTTTAAAAAAAAAATAGCCCCTCTTGCTAGCTTTCTATGAATTTTAGGCATTTGCAAGAAATGAGGCCATCAGCCCACCCTGCACTGGCTGCATGACTGCATTTCACTGAGCTGCCACTCTCAGAGCAATGGGTTGAAGCTGCCCAGCTCCCACAGGGCAATGCTGGACCAACAGGACCTTGCACAACCCACAGAACGGGGCTAGAAGTGAAGGAGCATGGCACAGGCTATCAAGTTAAAACCCTGCAGAATGAGAACACTGCAGGGCTATCCAGCAATACCATGGGAGCTCCTGTCCCTGTTTCTGGCTGCCAGCATGCAAGCAGCAGGCATTAGGCACCCAGTAGCTCAGGGTGGGTGAGCCACAAGCACCGGACAAACTTTGTGTCCAACGAGGAGGCACTATTAAGAAATTTCCAGGACTTGGCAGCAAAGGGGAAAAAATTTCAGAGGGCTGTTCTGGACACTGGCAACTTCTGTTCTATTTTGGGATCCTATGCTCACATACAGTCTTCCAAGCCTCAACATTGGGAAACACCAGTACACTTCTCTAATTTTTCCAGTAGGTAATTTCATTAATGATGCCATCTATTTATCTCTAAATTTGCTAGCAATCAAAACAGTTTCTCCCACACAAATAGCCAAGCAAAGCACCTCTTCTCTCCACTCAGAAGACAAGCAGGAGGGAGTTCTTCTGTGAACTCTCTCATCTCTACCCATAGGGTCAGCTTTCCCATTTTCTTTGCCTCATCTCCTCTTCCAAACCTTTACTCTGCAGCTCAGTTAAGCAAGGACAGCCAGGACAGGCCTCCCACCATCTGCTCCCCCACGCTTTGCCTGAAGAACAATGGGATGGAGCAAAACATCACTTCCCCGCTCTGCTGGGGCGTCTCTCTCCCCTTGCAAGCAGCAGCAGCGGGCGGTGTGATGTGCCCACATGCAGTTGCTATGAAGCCTCTCTCCTCCTCCTCCTCAGCAAGGTTTGATCAGTGGAACAATCTCAATGAGTGGAGACAACAGCAGCATCATGCCCTGCCTTCATGAAACACCCTCAGCCCTGAAAACTTGTTTGTGAAGGCAGCAATGAGGTGGGCAACATCACTCACTTCTGTGGTGTTCGGAGGGTGATTAGCTCTCCTACTTCAATGGTCTAAGCATGAGTGTGGTGTAGATAACTCCCTGGCTAAGGAGCTTGAGTCATGCTCCAAATTGCCATGGAGCTGGTCAAGGTCAGTGAGGGCAGCTGGGACACACATTGCCTCTTTTGGTCCTCTCCTGCCACTGTGCTGTGCTAGGAAGGCAGCATCAGGAGATGGCTGCAGGAAGGCTGCCGTACCCAAAGAGCAGTGTCTTCATGCTGGACCTTGGTGGGTGGTTGTCCCCTCTTTGGGCCCAAATGGTCCCCCAAAGCTCTGCAGGGTGCAGTTCTGTCCCAGCCTGAGAACCAGGAACCTATTTCCTGCGACAGTCCAGAAACCAGACAGCAAGATCAAAGTTCACTGTGGCCTGCCCTCACCAGGCCACCACACCCCAACGTGGGCCCTTACAAAACTCTTCTGTTTCAAAGCAGCTTATATCTGCATGGCAGCCCCACGCCTCAGATGCTTCCCCACGGCAGGGGAGCAGGTGTGGAGCGGGATTGTCACCCTGGAGCTCAGCAACCGAAGCACAGGTGCTCCAGCACTCAAACTGCAGACAGCTTTCCCGGATCTGGCCCGGGGAACTTGCTCCTCCCTTCCTGCACCAGCAGGACAGCAGCCGTGTCGCGCTCTGCACCGGAGGTACTCTGCACACCCAGGGATGGCAAGAAAGGGACGGCTGATACAAAGGTTTTCCACTGTTCATAGCTGTTAGTGCCTTGTAAGGGTTCCCAACAGGCTCACTGGGAATCAGAGTTTGCTGTAACAATAATAGTAAGAAAAGATTTCTGTGAAAGTGTGACAAAGCCATTTCCAAGGTTGGGTTCCCTATTTTATGGGGAAGAGCCACTTTTTAAAACCAGGATATAATATCTAACTGTGCTACAGACTGACAGGTTTCACCCCTTGCATTTTGAGATGCTAGAAAGAGACATTTAAAATGTCAGAGAGCATTATTTTGTACTTAGCCAACACCAGCAGTTACAGATACCTCTGGCACGTCCGAGGCGTGGGCAGATGTGCGACCGCCCACAGATGCTGCTGGAGAGGCAGGGGACATGGGGGGCAGCAGGGAGCTGTGCACCCACCCAGGTTCTGCCTTACAGGGCGCGGGAGCAGCAGTGCCGCGGTCGCTTCCAGCCTTGCACAGCCATATTTTATTCATACCAGTTTTTCTCCATGCCGTAAACTCTGCTCCAAGGCCAAGTGTCACCTTCCTTGACACCCCTGCACACTCTCTTCCCCTGCTTCAAAACCTTTTTCACTTTCAGTCTTTTTCAGTATCTTTTCTTACTTTCTTGTCGTCCAATTTACTTCACCCAAAACACACTATCAAGGATCCTTCTTATTACCTTTAAACCTGTGTCCTCTCCTTCCTTCTCCAGAAGGGATAGTTCCACCTGCGGACCTTCACCACAGCTGGGACTTGCAGCCCTAGGACTGCTTTACATCTCCTCCTGCCCATTATCCTAGCTGGCAGCCAGGAGCCATTCCTGCCCCAGGCAAGCAGGCTCACAAGGGGAAGAGATATGAAGAGAAAGAGCAGACGAGCCCAGCAGTCAGGGGACACGTGGCTTTGCCACGTGTTACTGAAGGTCTTCGTAAGAGGACAAGCTCCCAAGGCGACAGCGTGTTGCCC